GTACTCTTCTCCAGGACCACAACTCAAAAAGGCATCAATCCTTCTTCCATCATCCTTATTCACTGACCAGCTTTCAGACACACAGCAAAACCATGGTCTTTTCAGGCACATAAAAAGACTATGACCTGAATCAGTCCTCAAATTGGCATCACTGTCCTTCAGTACTTTGGAGAAGTCCTTGACAGATTTCCCCAATTGACAATTTCTATCTTTTCTCTATCTCTTATGATACGGCCTATAATTCCAGTGGTGAGGACTTTTGTTTTCTGGGTGTTGAGATTTAATCCATATTGGAGATTGTAATCTTGCAGCAACGAGTACTTAAGTCTTCCTCACTTTCAGTAAGGAAGATTGTGTCATCTGTATAACATAGGTTGTTGATGAGTCTTCCTCCAATCCTGATGGCACATTCTTTTCGAACAGTAGCATTATGTAGTACTTTTGTGTGACTGAGATATTTCACTCAGCATAATGTCCTCCATGGTCACCATTTTGTATAATACATAATGAATTCTTTACTTTTCAGTGCTGCATAGTATTCCATTGTGTGAATATACCACAGCTTCTCTATCCATTCGCTTGTTGATAGGCACTTGGGTTGTTTCCAACTCTTTGCTATTGTGAACAAAGCAGCAATAAACATGGGTGTATATATATTTGCTCAGGTGACAGTTCTGGTTTCTCTAGGGTAAACTCCCAGTAGTGGAATTCCTGGGTCAAATGGTATTTCTATTTCCAACTTTTTGAGAAAGCACATACTGCCTTCTGTTATTAAATTGGGATAATTACAGGGCATTGGGAGGTGAGGAGAACCAGAAGAGGATGGATTGGTAAAGAACACAGTATTGGATGATATGAAGAGAAGGTAAGTCTGAAAAGAACAGGCAAAAAGATGTCATGAGTAATGCAATTAACAAGCTGATGCATGAGGCCAGGAAGAGGGAGGGAGGTGTGGGTAAGTCTGATAAATCCATGAACAAAAAGGCAATTTCTTTATAAACTCCCACTCAAATCACAATTTAAAAAAACCCACAAAAACCTGTAGGGTAGCTCTACCCTTCCTGTAAGGCTGCTGTCGGTCAGAATTTATTTAGCTTGCCCTGGTTTGAATGACACCGAGCTTCTTTTCACTTGTTTCCTCTCCATGTGAATATCTTTAATAAAAGGTCTATTAAAATGTTCTCTCATTTTTTTTATTAGGTTGTCTTTGTGCTGTTATAGCACTTTTTAAATAGGAGCTGCTGTTCAATGCTCACCTAAATCTAGTGGGCTTTGCTTCTGGCACTGGAAGTGGCAGTGTGGGTGGTGGTTCAGGACAGAGATCTGGAGTCAGGCTGACGGAGGTTGGAATGCTGGATCTAACTCAATCTTATGACTTTGGACAATCTACATGATTCCTCTGAGCCCCAGTCTTCTAGTGAATAAAATGGGAATAAATATAGTCACCTCTCACGGGGTGGTCATAAGGGAAGATACTCTGTATGTCATGCCAGTCAACTGGGAAAGGCACCTCTTAGAACTCTTTACTTAAGGAATTTTTTTTTCATGCTCCTAAATTTTGAAGAACAAGGATGTCAGTTTAAAGACTGAAGTGTGCTGGATCCAAGCCATGGTGTTTTCAAGTGCTCATGTAGCATGTGAAAGTTGGACAGTGAACAAGGATGACAGAGAAGAAATCAATGCCTTTCAACTGTGGTGCTGGCAAAGAGTGTTGAATATACCATGCACTGCCAAGAGAACAAATCCGTTTGGAAGGAAGTGCAATTAGAGTACTTTAACGAGACAAGAAGGGTAAAACTTCATCTGACTTACTTTGGACATATTTGCAGGAGGAACCAGTTCTTTGAGAGACACATGATTCTGGGAGGGGTCTAGGGTTAGTTAAATAGAATATGATACTCAACAAGGTGGACTGACAGTAATTACCACCACTGGCCGGAGCAGGACGGAGGTCATGAGAATGGCACAACACGGCAGCATTCAGATCTGCTGTTCATAGAGCCACTGTGAGCTGTATTTACCTGATGACACTTACCAAGAATAAGAGCTTACGCTCATGGCTGCTGGAGGCTGAGGAACGAGTTTTCTGAAATGCATAAATCAAGACTCAGGGTACATTCACACAACGCCCAATTGATAAGAAGAGACGTGGTTGCCACCTGTTCCTTGCCCTTGACTCAGAACTGACTTGACTCCACAGTG